AAAGAAGATGTCATTAAAAAAATTAATACGTTACGTAGTAATGTTAGACGAGAAAAAAAAAAGTACGATGAATCTGTGAGATCTGGAGCATCATCTGATGATATTTATAAACCAACACTGTGGTACTTTGAACTATTCGATTTTATTGCAGATCAAGACATTCCTCGCAGTTCACGATCTAACATTTCGGATATTGATGAGAATGATTCCAATGTAAGTATAAATTAGTACTTTGTTTTGTAATTTATTTGTTTTGTAATTATTTGTTTTGTAACAAATTGCAATTATTTTGTAATTTATAGATTAGGTACAGCCGACCACAAAGCATTATATTTTTTTATACCATTCATGTTAATGGGTAGGTACTCTCGAATACAACTTGTAACGCTAGATGTATGGTCGTCTATACCTAAGTTTCTTGCAACTTCGTTCATAGCTTTACAAAATGTAGGTACGTAACTACATAGATTGTTACAGAAACAACTCTTAAGCGGTGAGGTTGCTCATTTATTCATCAAACAATATTATTACATAAATAAAAGAAATATATCACATTTCAATGAAACTATCCTGCCAAGGTACTTTGCCTTCATTCACAAAGTAAGTTTGATATTCAAGTCTGACTTTTTTTGCATCATTCAGGACATTTCCTCGATTTTGTACTTGCAAATTTTCTGCGTGTGAACGTGTGATATCGTAACCCGTGGTAACAACAGTTCCATTATCCATATTTTCTCGATAAAAACATCTTGGAGGTGCATATGAATTAGGGGTCTGGTCCATTAGAAAGTTGTGCAAAACACATGTAGCCATCACCACTTTTTCTATATTGATTGGTTCTAAATTGATCTGAGTATGGTAAATGCGAAATCTTGATGTCAGTATGCCAAAAACGTTTTCAACTATTCTTCTTGCTCGAGATAATCTGTAATTAAAAATTTTTTTATCGTAGCTGCTCAAATCCGCCTGACGATATGGTTTCAGCATGTCAGGTCTCAAGGGGAACGCATCATCAGCAACAAATACATATGGCAAACACCTTGAATTGTGTTGAATTGGTTCGGAGTTTGGAAGATTTAAACGTTTCATTTGTAACTTTTCAAAAAAGCTTGTATTCTGCAAAACACCTCCGTCGGAAACTCTTCCATTTGTACCAAAATCTGCTAATAGAAATCTGTATTTGGCATCAACTATTGCCATAAGAACCATGCTATGTCGTCCTTTGTAGTTGTAAAAATGAGATCCACTATCAGCAGGTGGAACTATGTCAATATGTTTTCCGTCGATGGCACCCACGCAGTGAGGAAAATTCCATCTCTCTTCAAAAAGTTGTGCTATTTCCTTCCATTTATCCGATGAATCTGGAAACTAAAATAAATATTACTTTGTATTGTTACAGGATACTGACAACTATACCGAAAATACCACAGATAATACGGATAATACGGATACAGATAATAATATTACGGATAATGCAGCTGCAAATGCTACTGATGATATTACGACACCAAAAAAGACTCCATTACCTGCTACTAGACCGGGAAAGAAGAAAAGGACAGAGCAAGATCAGTTAACCACTGACATATTACTATCAGTGAAAGACCATTTTAAGCGTCCTGCTTCTGCTTCGGCGACAGAAGATCGGTACGATCTTTTGGGAAGATCTATCGCAATTAAATTAAGATCGCTAGACAAGCGTCAACGGTTGATTGCGGAGAAAATAATTAACGACACCTTGTTCGATGCAGAGATGGGCAATTTGAATAGTGAAGAAATTCAAAATCGTCGAACTTTAACATATGTTTCTTCACCACATCCTAATCTCCCACGAAATCCAACTCCTTCGCCCTCAGTAGTACAATATTCTACAAAACCGTATACCCACACGGCTTCTGTTGCGCCTCAAAGACAACCATGCGTATCTCCGACACAACAAAGGTACACGATTTCTCCTGTACCGCAAAATGAGCTCTGCACATCACCAATTCAACACTCAGGATATAACACTCAAGAACAAAGTACTTCTGCACCAGAATTTGACACACAACCAACAACAGCAACATTTTATTCAAATTTTAATTACGAATTAATTTAAATATGTCAACCTATTAAACTTGTCTAACTACTCGAATTTGGTTTTATTTACTCACCTGTAGATATTCCTTTTTCAGAGCTTCATAAATAGCATCACATGTTTCTGGTATTATTCGGCCCAAAGCCTGAGGTGATATAATAGCAGAATATTTGAGACACTCGTATGTTCTTCCTGTTGCAAGAAATCTTAATGTTACTGCTAGTCTCTCATGTGCTGATATTGCTTTCCTCATAACAGTATCTTGTCTTTGTATTAACGGAGTAATCAATGATAATAGTTTCAAATAAAGTTTTTCATCCATTCGTAAATAATTTTTGTAATCTGTTGGTTTAAATCTCAATTCATTTATCAAATTTACGTGGGAGAAATGATTTCTTTTCAATAACCAGCGTTTAGACCATTCAGTGCGATCTCTCTTTTTTTTTCTTTTCTGAAGAATAAGTGTTAAGCCAAGTACTGCTATCACATCGTTGTCGTCCATTGTAGTTTGGTACGTATATACCACACAAAGTATCGTAGGCGTCCTGCACACACCGTCACGTAGCTTAACAGAAGAGTTAATGGCAAAACTGTACATGCAAACCCTAACGTGTATTTGTAATATGGAACTCGGTTATACCTGTCGGTTATGCATGCAAGGTTAAAACCATCATGCAAACCCTAACGTGTATGGCCTCCATAACGGTATGTGCAGGACGCCTACGGTACTTTCTGCGGTATATACCTACCAAACTACAATGGACGACAACGATGTGATAGTTGTACTTGTACACTTATTCTTCAGAACAGAAAAAAAAAGAGAGATCGCACTTAATGGTCTAAACGCTGGTTTTAAAAAGAAATCATTTCTCCCACGTAAATTTGATAAATAAATTGAGATTTAAACCAACAGATTACAAAAATTATTTACGAATGGAAGAAAAACTTTATTTGAAACTATTATCATTGATTAGTCCGTTAATACAAAGGGAAGATACTGTTATGAGGAAAGCAATATCAGCACATGAGAGACTAACAGTAACATTAAGATTTCTTGCAACAGGAAGAACATACGAGTGTCTCAAATATTCTCCTATTATATCACCTCAGGCTTTGGGCTAAATAATACCTCAAACATGTGAAGCCATGAGAACTATGGCAGGCAAGCTCGCCGCACCGATAACTGTACAGTTTTATCACATACACGCTAGGGCTTGCCTGTGTGTTATGCATGCAAGGTTAAAACCATCATGCAAACCCTAACGTGTATGGCCTCCATTGCGAACTGAATGCAACAAGTTTCATTGAGATCCATCCAACTTCAAAGAATTGGTAAGTTTATTGCTTCATTGCCTAGCCTATATGTGATACCAGCTGTTGTCAAGTCAAGTCAAGTCAAATTTATTGATCACATGCGACATTATACAAAGTACATGTATGAGACAAGTCAAAAATACAGACATAAATCTTAAAATTATATAAATTAATTAAACACGATAAAACATACTTAAAAATTATTTTTAGAATATGGCTCTAGCTCACAAATGTATTGATGTACACACCTCCGAAAGTTTGGCTGATGTAAATTCATTCGTATATCTATAGGTAATTTGTTAAAGAACAAACTACTATAGTGCTACCTTCCAACAAAACAGAACGATGTTGTGGAAGCATAAAGTGATTGTCTCTGAATCTTGTTGAATAAACATGGTTAAATTGAAATTTATTAAACTCATAAATTTTGCTTTGCAAATACATTATACACGAAAATATATTCGCTCCGTGCGTGACCATGGTAGGGGAACCTCGAAACGATGCCAGCGTGCGTAGCGGCGAAAAATGACAAAATTGGAATCTTTTTAACCATAAATTTTATCAAAAATGTGTGCAAATACATGTTGCGTATTAAATTGTGCTAATAATAGCAAAAATAGGGAGTGTAGTTATTATAGGTTACCAAAGATTACATATAAATTAGAGAAAAGAAAAAGATGGATTCGTGCTATTAATATGAAAAAGTAAATATCACATAATTTCATTTTTATTGAATTGAAATAGGAAAAATTTAAATAATTTACCTTAAATGACATTTCATATCGCTTCAAGCTAATTGCAGAGTGCCTGATGACTTTATTTTTATATCATAACTTTTACTATTATTGTTTTTAAATATGTCGCGTCAGTCACGCACGGAGCGAATACAGACCAGGAATTGTCAGAATATTGTTTTGTCTAAAGATGCCTCTACAAGAATCTCTAAATTTCATTTTATACATTATCCTAATAGCTCTTTTCTGAAGTACGAATATCTGCTCTAATTCAGAGGTACAACCCCAGACTTCAATGTCATATTTGGCTATTGAGTAAAAATGGGCAAAGTATATTGTTTTTAATATTGATGTATGAAAGAAACGTGAAAGAATTCTTAATGCATAACATGCGCTACTTAATCTGGATTTCAAATTAGAAATGTGGTTTGACCATTTACAATTACTGTCTAGAAGTACCCTCAGCAACTTCGTGCAGTCTGTTTTATCTATTGCTGCTTCTATAGTGGCTTGATGGTTTAATAAATTATTCGACGTGAAAATCATATACTTTTTCTCTTCATTCAAAACTAATTTGTTGGATAAGAAATAACTTTTGATGGTGGATAGTATCTGTGAAGTTTTATTTTGCAAATTTTGATCAGACGTTCCTGTGACTAGAATGTTGGTATCATCCGCATAACTGATAATGTTAACCCCAGTCAGTGAATTAGTTACCAAAGTTATATCAATAATAAATACTATAAAAAGTAGTAGTAGTAGGTAGTAGTTTGTACATTAATTATTGATTTAATTACTGTATTAACATAATATATTAAAGGTAAGAGTAATTATCAATAAAAATTATAAAAAGGAAAAGAAAGAAAAATATAAAATACCTTGGACCTGGTGCAGGTTTACCACCACTTTTCAATTCATCTAAAATTTCATTAGTTGCTTCAACAGTTAAATCTTCCTGCAATTAAAAAAAAACATATTAAAACTCAATTTTACAATGTACACGAATGTAAAATACTTGTATTAAATATATTGATAAATAAAATGAATTACTTTGTGAAATGAACGGAATATGATATTTAAGTATTTTATTTATTTTTAGTTTCTACGCGTATTAAAATTTTATCATCTACGTCAGACATTGTTCTCTTTATCATGCTCCTTTATGTAAGTGCCTCGGAATTTTTCTTTCAAAGGTAGCCGATAGCCTTTATTATTTTTAGACAAGTCCATAACTCTGATCCATACATGCTTAGAATTTTATATATTTGACACTTCATTCTTCTTGATAAGTATTCAGATCTGAGGTATTTAATTAGTCCATTGTATGCTCTATTCTAGTCGATTTTTGGGGTGTTAATGGAATAGTGCTGAGCAATAACAGCTTCTTCTATTCAACAGACAACCTCACTCTCTGTCAAAAATGGACTTAGTGCATTTTCTTCAAACAAACGAGGAAACGACGAACCAGTGTGGACAGTATAACCATATTAATCGAAAATGGCAAAAATACCAATTTCATATCCCTAGTAGGAAGCGAAAGGCCGAAAAATTCAAAAAATTCTCCTATATTGGGGAAGGCAAGAGAAAGCTAATTGTCGCTAGTTATATATCATTATGCTATGAATAACAAGCAAAAAGTTACTAATCATGGCTCTTGGAAACCAAGACTCGATAAGGGAAGAGAAGAAAAGGAGAGAAGAGCTTCTTAAGTAAATAAGCGAAATCTGTCTATTAAAGATATATAAAAACAAGAACAGGAAATATGCAGATTAAATATCAATATACTAAGAGATACAAGATGGATAAACTCTGGAAAATGCAATATAAAGCAAGGAAAAATCTATTATTAGGCAAGCACGGACTCGCAACATAGATATGGATAATCATCATCAGCCCATAGTCGTCGACTGCAGAACATAGGCCATTCTAACGATGTGTCCTGCCCACTTCCATTTAATTTTTGCTATGTGTTTTATGATGTCCTCTACACAACAACTTCAATTTCGACGTCATCTACTTTTAAAGGATGGTGCGGAACTAAATTCGTCATCAATTTTCTCTTTTGGTTCTCGTTGAGTTCATTTAACATGTCATTAGTAATTTTTAGGTCATCTGAAATCAGGACAATGTCATGTGCGAATCGTAGATGATTAAGCATCTCACCATCGATATTTATTCCTTTATTTTCAAATTAAAGTCACATTCCCTGACACATACCTCTCCTGATATGTATCTTATTGGTAGGATCAAGCAGATTTATAGTTGTAGCATTTCTGTATATACCTTGTATAATATTGGTCTACCTATGATATTATACTTAGCGAAAAAATAAGTAACAGGCTTCATTCCGATATTCAAAAGAATGATACTGCTGCAATTAATGACAATGACATGGGAAACTAAATTGAATACATATGTATGCACCAACTTCTGATAAGAAGGAAGAAGAAACAAAAATTCTACACTGAACTTGAAAAGACATTACAACTCACAAAATCTAGACACAACAGATAATCATGGAAAATTTTAACGCCAAATTGGAGAAGGTAAATCTGGATCTTTAGCAGAACCATACACTGAGTTGGTGTTCTAAATGACCGAGGTCCAATTAATACCTCCATGGCAGATTGTCACTCCATCTTTTGCGTGGTCATCCGATACTTCTTCTACAGGGATACGCAGGTCTCCCCTATTCTGCTTATGTGGCTATTCCATTCTTTTTTTCTATTTAGTGTCCAATCGTTTATACATTGTACGTTAAATTTTCTTCTAATGTCTTCATTTCTCTTTCAATCTCTTAACATATTTCCTGTAATTTTTCTCAGTACACTCATCCCTGCCGTTTCCAGTAGCCTTTGTGTTGTGACTGTACCGGGTATTGTTTCTGAGGCATTGGTCATTATTGGTCTTACACTTGCTTTATACATTCTTGACTTCATCTCAGTGTTAATGTGTCTGTTTTGCCATATACTGTTATTAAGGCATTTTGTACTTGATCTCTAACTTATTTGTCTCCATAGCTGGACAGTGTAATTCCAATATGTTTTATTTCCATTACTTTGTTCAATACTCATGCCATCAATTTCTATTTTACATCTGGTTCGTTCTTTGCTGATTAGTATTGTTTTAGTTTCCTTAGATGAGATTGTCATGTCATATTAAATTCTTTTGCTCTTATGTTAAATCTGTGGACCATTCTTTGAAGACTATCTTCATCTTGGCCTATCAATATCAATATTTTATTCAATATTGATAATAAATAAGAAAATTAATATGAACTCAAATATACTGCTAGACAGAGAGGGAAAGATAATTACTGAAACAACAAAAATTATGCAGTCGGAAGAAATACATAAAGGAATTATTTCAAGACCAGAGACAAGAAAATCCCTATATTATGAATAGTCTAGGTGGATATGTAGGACACGAGATTATTAGAGCAGAGGTTATTTTATCTGGTCCAGACCTAATACCAAGTGAGTTATTAAGCTTAATCAATGACAAAAATCTGGATATTTTAGTAGGATTATTCAATAAAATGTAAACAACAGGAATAATCCTTGAGAAATGTTAAAATCGACATTTATGTGTCTAACCAAAAAAGTGAATTTATAACGATGCAAAAATTACCAAACGATTAGTCTTAAGGCTGTTTTATCGGTGCACCAAAATTTTTTCTCTGTTATTTACCGACGAAATGTCTCGAAATTTGGACATGTTATACGAAATTATGTTGCCTTTAAACTGATGGTTTTACTTTTTTTATTTTTTTTGAATTTTCTGTTGAAAAATTGGATTATACTGTTTAACGTTCTATTATAACCAAATTTTCACGCCCATCAGTTGAAAGAGTTTTTTTTTTCTGTAATTGTTGATTCTTTTTTCACCTTTCTGTGTCCAGTAATAATCGAGAAAAGCGTATTCAAACTTTGAAGAACATTGCTAAAAAATACTGAAATCTAATAGTAAAACGTGTTCCTCATCATTGTCGCTGATCTTGATCGTTATCGCATTAGTGACGTCAAATCTCATGAGCGTACGGTACGGTCTTATTTTTATTTCTCTATGGGTACGGTCAGTACGGTTTCTCTATGGGTTCGCTTGAATTAGAATCCATTTTAGTTCTTTCATTCTTGTATTTTCCTTATCAACTTGCTTAGTTTTTACAGTTTACAGTATTCTTATTTATTTTGAAAACATTGAAATTATTTAGTTTACGTGTATGTTAAGTAATATATTATTAGTTTAGTGGTATAAGTTAAAAGTTCTTTAGTTTACGCGTATTTTTAAGTATCACATTAGGTTAGTGATATAAGTTATAAGAGACAAGATAAAAAATGAGTCCCAGTAAACGTCCTATGTCAAGGAAAACAAGAGCAATTGCACTGCAGTAAGTATTTATTATTTATATTACAACCGTTTTTAAAAGCTTTTATTATATATATACAGTGTAGGAAAATTTTTATGGTCGGTATGGACCTTACGTGAGATGGAGTGAGAAACAGCTGTTTAAAAAGAGAGAGGTATATTAGGTACGCCCTTTATATCGCCGAATGGAAATATTAAAAAAGGGGAAATTCAACGTTGCCAAACTTATTGGTTTTATTTGACCTGTTGTCTTTTTTTGCATTTGAACAATGTTCTATCAAGAAGATAAAATGCTCAAGATAATCAAATTTGGGCGAAATTGATTTAAATGGCAGGTTACTGTTTTTTTTATTGGGAATATGCCACAAGTTTTCTTTACAATAATTGTAATATAACATTTTGATTTCCATTTCGGAAATCGTTTTATATAAATAAAATTTATTAATGTTTCGTATTTTAAGTACGATTTCCGAACTAAAAATCTAAACATCAAAATAATTTCCCAATATGAAATAATAAACAATTAAACATGCATACAATAACGCCAAATTAAAAAATATTCATACACTAATTTATTTGGCAACGTCTAGTCTAGATAGTCGTCTGGTCACGTCTGGTCAAAAGATCGAGTAACGAGAAGTAGAGGTGGGTCGTGCTAGTTTATCGTTAAGAGCTTAGGAGCAAAATTTCGGACCAGAGTTTTTTAAATGCATTCATTTTTTTCGAATCCTGAGAAAACTAATAAATATTTTTGAAAAAATTAAACGCAGAATGAAACAATACATTATTACCGAGAGCTTAAAGTCCCTGAAAACTTCTATAATGTTTATTTTAATAAGTTATAGGGATGAAAAAAAAAACAAAATTTAGTGTGATTTTTAATTTCAAATATCTCATTAAAAAAACATTTTGTTTATTCTAAGGGACCTTCGGCCCTCGGTAATAATGTAATCTTTCATTCTGCATTTAAATTTTTCAAAAATATTTGTTAGTTTTCTCAGGATTCCAAAAAAATTTAAATTTTTTTGAATGCTAAAAAGCATTTAAAATTTTTAATTTTCATAAACAAGTAACTATGATTGTTTAAAAGTAGTTTCAAGTAAGATAGTACCTACATAAACAAACATAACGACTATTATCGTTTATGTGTATATCTTTTGAAGTGAAAGAAACTACCTAATGATATATTTATTATAACTTGAAAAATAAACTAAACAATCATCATCATCATATAACGGGGGTCCTACGGCGATTGCCGCTTCCCGCATTTCAGCCTCCATCTTTTCCTATCTCCCCAATCTCCCTCTTCTAAGCCTCTAGATTGCATTGTTTTTGTAATTTCTCTTCTCCAGGAATTTGGTGGTCTTCCCCTTTTCCTTCTTTCTGGCGGAACATACATTAAGGGTTTCTTTGGCCACCGCTCCTCCTCCATTCTCATCACGTGACCATACCATTGTAATTGCCTTCCTTGTATTCTATCTGAAAGAGTATCTCTAATTCCTGTACGGTTTCGTATTTCCTCATTCCTGATTCTTTCCATTCTCGATACTCGACATGACCTTCTAAGATAATCCATTTCCACAACGT